AAAATCTAAATGTTCTAGGTGGAGGCCCCCCAAACCCTTTGTGGCATTTCGTCCGCACGCATTTTTCAGGGCAATCTCTATTGGGCTCAGGGCCATCTGTAAATTAGCTTAGATGGCCCGCAGGGTCATGCACTGGTTACTGCGTTACATTATGTGATCCAACTGAACCGAATCTCCCTGCGGATGTAATTTACAGGTGAATACAGCGATGTCCTCTCACAGTACCATGGAAAAGTGAAAGTGAGGAGTGATGATTGGTTAACGCGGGGTAACATTTCAGGGTAAGCCAATCAGAGACAGAGTTGGGCGTTCTTGCCTTATGGGGAAAATACACAGACACACAAACACTTGGGCCCTTTCTCATTTCATCAAATCCCCCTCCTCGACTCCTCGGTCCTCCGGTATTGACCCGGAAATGAATTTTAGCGCGCCATGTTGAAGGACATCTCATTTCTCTAAATGCACTTCGAGGACCGAGGATCGAGCGTCGAGGAGGTTTTCTGGAGGAGCTATAACCGCGGATACACTGATGGGTCCTCCACGGTCCTCCACGGCTCCTTCGTGGATGTATTTCCGGGAACAGAGATGTTTCAAAGAGTCGTGACGCACGGCCGGACTTATCTCAACCAATGACAGCTCTGCATGCATCACCTGGATATTATTTTATTAACTGCTCTCATCGCAACGCGATGTTTCCAGAGAGAACAGCTGTGAGGTCCGTGCAGAAAGCAGAGCAGTGTGTAAAATATATATCACTCAGTATAACAGGCCTACTCTCTTTATTTGCTTTAGTTTAGTAGATATCTACAAACAAAGTTGATATTTTTCTAAAACCATGTATTGCTTCACATAATAAAATACACAACGGCTGTAGCCTGATTATATGCTTTAGGAGCTGTAGGTGTGTGCGGTACAGTTTGTGCGTAGATGCAGCGGACAGACAGGTCTCAGTTGGTTTGGTGTCTTCTGCTTACTTTTAATACTTGTAAATAAAACTTTTGGCCCGTAATTTATTTCCCTCATTGTAGCGACCAGAGAGGGGAGAGGGGGGGGGGGATATATCCAGTCTCTGATAGTGTTACGTTATGATGAGAGTGCTCTGTTTGATTCTGAAATTGTATATATTTAAATATATACATATGTTTGTGTGTGTGTGTCCGCATATGTAGCCTGTTATTGTCTCATACCGCACTGTGAATGAATTAAAAGTAAATATAAATGGTCATGAACACATCTGTCCATCAGACAGAGGGCTGCTGTACCTCCTGTCATCATTAATGGACGTCTCTTTAAAATGACCGATCAGAGAGGAGTTCTCATTTCTCTAACCGCCTGCTGCTTCCCCTCCTCTCTCCTCGGTTCCCCTCCTCAGTCCTCCGCTCGCATCTCCTGTGGGCTGGACTAAGTATCGAGGAGAGGAGTCGAGGAAAGGAGTCGAGGAGGGGAAATTAGAGTATTGAGAAACCTCTACTGTAAAGCCCCCTGAGACAAATGTGTAATTTGTGATATTGGGCTATATAAATAAAATGTGAATGATTGTATGATGGTAACATGCATGCTTTCATTGTCTCTTTCTCAGGTCTGTGCATGTTGTACTGCCTTTTGCAGGAAGTCTAATGGACACAGAGGTTATGTTAGATGATGAATATTAATGTCTACACTGAAAAAACTCAAGCGTGGACTTGAATTAAGTCTATTATGTCAACAGATTTCACATATGTATTAGGTTAGTTGAAAGCAATAATATTAAGTTTAAATACAAAATATTAGGTTCAACTTCATCTCTGCTCTTCCTTTAGTTATTGCTTTCAACTAACCCAGGAGTCTGCAACCCGCGGCTCTCGAGACGCATGCGGCTCTTTAAGCCCTCTGCTTTGGTTTCCTTGAGTTACACATAAATAAGAAGGAAATAGAATATAAAAGTATTTGTAGGACTATTTAAATGTTGTTGCATGGTTGAAAATGTTTCGTATCTTGTATTTTGAGGTGATACTGTGACACATAAATAAAAAACTAAACGGTTTTAATTAGGTCAACTAAAATATGCGTCACATCCTGCTACGGTCCCACGCCAGCGCCTTTTCTGGCAGACGAACAACCTGATCCCCGGCTCGATGAGCTAACTATGGATACATCAAAGAAAATAAAAGTATTGGAGGAACACAGGATTTAATTCTGCGTGGACAGAGTTATATGTTTTCACAGCAAACGATGCTGGCTTACCGGGATGTTTGATATGTAGAGAGAAGTTGTCGAAGGTGCTGCAGCCTTTACGTATCGAGGAGAAAAACAGAAGAGGAAGACAGCTGACGATCTTCAGTCATAATTCAATGGGGTATGTACTTTATTTCAGAAAACACTTTTTGTTATAGTCCATGGAATGCTCTTAGCGTCCCGATAGCAATGAATATATTAAATGCTTTGACAATAAATACATTAAAAAAATGTCATCTGTGGAAGCCGTAGCGCTGTAAAAAGCACGACCAATCATTTTAGCCGGCCCGGCTAAAATAACTGGATGGCCTACCTGCCTGTCAGCCTTCCATCTTTGCACAAACTTATCTCGTGCCCTCATTAGTCATGTGTGTTGGAGGAGGGGCTCTGTAAGGAAGAGGCAGATTTTTTTCCGGTTGTGTATTCTCAAATTCTAGCGCACTCAAGCCGGTTTCTCCATTCTTACCTACCCTACCTTTAACTCTTTTTAGGTTGCAGCTATATGTTTTATTTATTTCAAAGTGGGCGCATTATAATTATATTTTTTTCCCTTCAAATGTGCAGAGGACTCCCCAAGTGCTGTGTTTAATTAAAAATAATATTTTAAAGTAGGCCTGTGTATTATTTTTAATTCTCCTTATAGGAGTTCTTTGTTTCTTATTAGAGGTTAACAGTTTTATATAATATAATAAATAATAAATGCAACAAAACTGTTTTTGTCTATGATATAACAATAAATACAACTTTATAAGCTATCAAGCTATGAAATATGTTTTGCGACTCCAGACAAACTTTTTTTTTGGAAAAGGGAGCCAAATGGCTCTTTTGGTCAAAAAGGTTGCAGACCCCTGAACTAACCGAATACAGTTATGTGAGATTTGTTGACATAATATTTTTAATTAAAGTCAAGGTTTCAGTTTTTTAAGTGTACCTGGATGGCATGACAGCTCTTCTCTAAACTTCACAAACCACAAGCCACCTGACCAGGAGGGGGAAGGTAGTTAAATGTTTTAGGGAGTTCTGTGTTATCTTCTGCCACAGCACATGCTCGGTTGTTTACTCACTGCTAGGTGTCCACCTCTGCAACACTGGGAGGCAGAAGCACACACAGGCCTCCACCTTATGGGAACAAGTGATAGCTGCGAACACAAATGGGCTGGCTGTGACCGCTGTGCTCTAAAAGAAGCTAACAGGTGGAGTGTGACAGCGGGGAGCGGGGAGATTGGGAGTATTTGTGAGTTATGGGTTCAGAGACGTGCTCGGCCACACCAGCTGTGAGGTTGGAGTGCTGGAGAATGTGGAGTGGACAGTGGTGAGTGTGTTCTCAGTGTAGGACAAGTGCTGCGGGCCAGAGCAAATCATTCATAACCCCCCTTCCTCCAATTCATCTGAGCTATAGAGGGGTCATGAAGTCATCAAGTTCCGTCGCTGTCACAGCAATCCCCATTTATCACCACACAGAGGGCGACCCTAACCCTGACCTACCACACCCACATGATAATAAGGACTTTCTGGCAGAATCTGCCTACTGACAAAAATGTGTTTTTGAGAGTTCTGATGCCTTATATTGTGTATTTGATATTAAACCATGCAGTTATAGAGAGGTGCAGTGATTGCGTATTTCCAGAAGTTAGCATCGCAAAGGCTCCCTCAACGAAAAAGCAATGGGAGTTTGGAATACTGCAAAAGATCTCTTGCAAGCAAGTGTGAATAATGACATGTTTTGTTCAGCAGGATAATATCCACATATAAACACCTGTTTGTTTGAGTTTTGAAGCATACATGCAATCACCAGAAGTAAAAAGCTAACATTAGGCTTTAAACTTACTGGTTTATAGTTCCTTAGTTAGCCACTTGTTAACCAACCTTTGTGTTATGACACAAAAAAGCTTCAGACATTCACCAGTAGGTTATTTAACGCAAATCTCATGTCTTACAACAAAACGTGAAAAACTCTTCAGCTTGTGTTAGCCAGAAATCTTATTTTAGGCATATAACCAAAACAAATTCAAAAGACTGTTGACTTTGAGACGAGGAGAGCACATGTTGTAAAATGCTAACTCATTTCTGGATTTTAGGACTCATTCTTGCACCACTCTATTGTAGCTGCGTCACATTGGTGGGCTGGAACCAGTCTTGTGACAGCTCTTTTTAAGATTGTGGTGGACAGAAAAGTTCCTCCATATACAGCCAACAACAGATCAGAAAGGCTAAGTGTTTAGAGAAACAGAAGAATGCAAACCAAGTCCAACATGCCTGGCTCCAAACACTTTTCTTAAATATTAAAAAGTCAAGAGAGGATAAAGAAGAAGAAAAATACATACAAAGATATTTGATGAGAACACACCGAGGAAGGTGTTTGCGTACGTGCCGTTTCGAGGGAGTGTGATACTCATACAGTATCTGAGGCAACAGGTGTTGTTGTGTGTGTCTACATTTTATTATATAGAACTAGACAGAGTTAATAAGAATGTCAAGTTTTCCCAGCTAGTAAAACTATTGATGACACAATTATATCATTATGTCTTTTGTGCATTTAAATGACATACGGGTAATTATAAAATTATGTCATTTATGCACGTTAAAGACTGTTATAACCCCTGCCAAATTGCCATGTACAGTAGCCAAAGGTATGATATCATAGATACTGTATGTATGAGATCATCGGTCTTCAAATTGGTTTCTATTCACCAAACATTTACATAACCACAAGCGTTTGTTTTGCATGCTTCACCACAGACTACCCTCCTGTAACCCAGACACTCACAAGCGGGCACGTAATACAATTACCTTGAAAGTCTTCAGAGTTCGGCAGCTTCACTTCGCAGATGACATAATCTGACTGATTGGCCTGTGGATTTAAATAGGAGGTTTCATATTAAAGACAATGATCAGACACAGAAAGCAGACAGGATGAAACCTGGAACACCAGCTTTGGCAGAGGCACTGATTTTCAATTATTCCATCATTGTGTGTCGTGTCATGCAAAATAATAGCCTTAATATGGCATTTAGCCCATCATTATATTCGATTGGCTTTAATCAAAATGTACCTATCTGACAGTTAGAGATTCTATCTGTTCAAGTCAATACATGTGTCAGTGTAACGGAGGGCTCCTACGCTAACTTTAGTCCCTCTAAATTGATCATGTTGTTGACAGTGCTAGAGTCTGGCTGCAAATGCCGCTCCACTAAAAAAAAAAGAAAAAAGAAGAAGGTTCCATAAAGTTGAGGCAACTTGAAAGGAGTTCCACTAATCTGGAAGAATCTCATTTATTTTAGCTGGATAATCTTAACAAACAAAAGAATGCTCTGGTACTGCCAGAGCAGCCTATTATTCATCATTAATCGAAGAGAATAAGAGCAATGCCAGGCTCATGTTTAGCAGAGCGCTCTATAGAGCCTTCTTTCCACATATCGTTCAGCAGTTATGACTTCATGAGCTTTTCTCGATGATCAAATTATAGCTACTTGTAACCCTGTCACTTTTCCTGTGTAATTTTTGACATTTGGTTCATTCATTTCATACCTAGTTTGAGACAGAAAAATTGAAAATATATACTAAAAAGGACTGTCATATTTATCAGAGAGGCCCGTGAAACAGAAAGCTGATGCCTCCGGATTATCTCCTAAAACACTGCAGTAGAAATAACACTCACAGCATTCCTTTGAACTGTTGTGAATGCAACACAGTATCTGCACCCTTTCTGCCTGATCAAAGCCGTGGTGCTGGGACCAGATCATTCTTGTAGTTGCCCTGTCAACAGTGTGTTGTGCAGCAGTGTACCACCAGTTTCAACTCACCACATCAATGGGGTAGATGTAGGAGAGCTCAGAGAGGAGCTGCCGACAGCGGAAGGTGAGCTGGGCGTTGGACTTGAGGAACTGCTCTCTGGGGAGACAATACGACACAGTGAGTAACCGGCAGCAGGAGGAGACACGCGCTGTAGCTACGAGAGGAGGACATTCAGAGGGGGGACTAAAGGCAGAGCAGAGATGAGAAGGTAGGTGACGCAGTTTTGTTGAAAGTGATAGGAGGAAGTGGAAGTGAAACTGCTGATGGCTGCTCCACAGGGTCCCACTATGAACTTAATAGATTTATGATGGACAGATCAAAGACAATCTCTTGACTTGAATCCTTATTTTCACATAACACATAACGGGTGGATAGATTCTGGGACGCAACGATGTGGGGGGCCAAACGGCTCCGTGTCTATGCCCAATACGATTTTTCTGATAACGATGAAGCAATAGCCCCGCCTCTCCTGCTCAGATCAGCTGCTGGGCTCTCAGAAGAGGGGGAGGAAAAGAGAGGCTCCATTTATAATTCTTATATTATTATATAGAGTTGTTATCAATTTGTTTTAAAGCTCAATAAATAAAAAAGAAGACCTCTGACCGGCACTTTTCAAATTTTGTCCGGAAGATTTAAACTTTAACGGCGAAAAATTATAACGGAAACTCTGCCGCACGGTTCCCTCGTCCCATGGAAGAGGCGGTGTGAGTGTTTTCCATCTGCTGGTGGACTAACGGAGAGATTTACGCAGGAGCAAACACTTGCCTCGGGGAGGGAGAAAAAGAGCCAGAGCGCCATCCACAGCGGAGAATAAACAGAAGGGCAACCATGGCAACCATGCGCGGGAAGTCTTCTTCGCTGCTTTTGGTGTATTTTGTTGCAGAAGTACAGCGCCACTTACAGGCCCGGCATATGTACTACAGCGTCTCCAGCGCTTTCGAGCGGTCTCGTGTGAACGGACACGTTTCTGGTGCGTGTGGACGGAAGACCTTTTTGATATCGAATTTGGTTCGTTTGCGTTACCGTTCTCGTGTGGCTCCAGTCTAAGTGTCTTGCCCAAGGACACTTTGACAGGCTCAGGATTGAACCACTGACCCTCTGATTGGTCGACGCTCATTAACCCCAGGAACAGGAGCCACTCAGATGTAGTCCTTATAGGTCTTTGTATTGATGAAAGCGTAGTTACTTATTGGAGAGCCAGCTTAGTGCAACTTTACTGTAAAATACCGATTTACTAGTAATTTTATATCCATACTAGAACAGTCATTATTAGTCGTTCAGGTTAACTTGTAAAGTATCGTGCAGTGAGTACTGAGCTCTGTGTGTACTTGAAATTAAGTGGTTTGCACGCTGTGTTGTTTGACCACAACAGAACCCAAAGGTGTATTTACATGAAAATCATTAAGATATACTATAATTACCAAATAATTTCAGACCTGTGTGGAGATAATAATAAATTGGACTATCCTTGTTTCAAATATAAAAGAATAACCTCAGAGCCAGGGTTTTCTAGAAATGAAATGACTAGCCGAGATCCTATGTGCTGAATAGGGTTGTTGCTTTTTAACTGTTTTGTTCAATTAATCTAGTATTTGCGTTTTTGAAACTTCCCAAATTAAAACATATTTTACATCTCTGCAGCTAACATAGTTACTTCCAGAACACAGATGGGCTGCTTTGGATGAATAGTGTGTGGGTGTCCTCTACAATACTTACACCACTACTTATGGGTAATAGCCCATCATTTCATGCAGACAAAAAGGGATTGTAAATGGTTATTGAATGTGATGCCCCCTGCCATCCATTCTCCTCGCCTTACACGCAAATATCCTTTTAGGCTTTGACTGTGGTTAGTAGGCTCTTATCATTTCCATTTCTTAGAGAACTCTCTGTAAAAGCGAAGACAGATGGGTGTGTAATGAATGTTTGATTTGACTTAACAAATCTGTCCAGATCTGAAATGCCTCATCTTAATGTGTCCCAAGGTGAAAACACCGTTACTAAAATAGGCGGAGTTCAACATTTTGGTAAAAAAAGAACATTTACTGTATACCTTCTGGCAAAGAGTCAGGTGAGAAGTTCCATACCACCCTTGTTTGGGTGCTTATAAAACATTGTTTTACTCCAATTCAAACAGTTTATAAAAAAAACACCTGAGAAGTTTAGAGGGGAGATCTTTGGAAGAGCCAACAACTAATTGAGATTTGAAACATGACAATGGTCGACGCAGTAGACATTGCGTTACTGAAAGGGTTTACAAGTGACTATGTCTGTGAGTGGGGTCATCTAACAATTAGAAAGTTGGAGGTTCGATCCCAGCCACTGCAATTAACATGCTGAGGTATCCTTGGGCAAGACACTTAACCCCAAATTGCTCCCGACGGCATGGTCAACGGTGTGCCAATGTGTGTGAGTGTCTCCAAGAGCAGGTGAGTCAGCCTATACCTCACCTCAGTGTGAATGTGTTTGAATGGGAGAATGATGACTTGTATATGTAAAAGCTCTTTGAGGGGGTTGAATTACAATTTACCATTACAGAGCCAATATAGGTTGGTAACTACTGGTTTAACCCTTAACAAGGCAGTATTTCATAAGCTTATTATAGGTTAATTTCTTCATATACATCCGCAAAAGTCCTAAATGAATGTTACGAAATAGAACTATAAAGTAGTATTATTCTACTTCTATTAAATTTAAGTTTCACATTTCATTGTAAAAAAGAAAAGTACTTTAGTTAATTTACTTCAAGTTTTACACTTTAAGCATGCTATGGGATCTAGAGATTCAAAGTAGAGTCCTTTCTTGTTTCCCAAAAGTAAACTCAACAACTACAGCTTCAACAATTAAAGATGTTTAACTAACTGATGCCTTTTAGCCCCAATTGTGTGAGATAAGCTGTTCAACTGCAGCCGTGAGATATTAAACGGGAATGTGGATAGGCTGAGAATGCTGTGCATGCTCAGCATAACTTTTCCCTCACTGAAAGTAAAAAAAACCTTACAACACTGATATTTCCAAGGAATGGATGCAAGGCAGATGTACAAATGTCGGTGTTAATTTCCTGTTTGCTAGGTATCTTGGCCCCTGCTCGCCTTCGTGGGGCTCTGGTTTAGCCTCTGTGACTGCCAGGTACTTCTCAGACAAACAAAGCTGTATCCAGGGTCGACAACCTCCGAACACGTCTTCCCGCAGGCCAAGGCAAACACAGGCCAATAGGCTTTTAAGCACAATGTGCAAACTCTGTTGAGAACACATAAATAGGCAGCGCCAGCCGCGAAAACATGGTGTTGTTTTGAAAGAGGATGGTGGGAGGCAGGGAGCAGGGTAAGGCCCCATCACAATTCAATAGGACTGCGCAACACTTTGGGTCTCATCATCTACTGGGCTCTGGTTAATGTCTGGAGATGATTGCGTTTAGAAAGTGTGTTTTCTTTGCAGACATAAAGCAAAAGCTAATAACAGGTTCACACATACCTCTTGGCAGTGCATTCCTTCTGCAGCTTGGTTAAAGATTCTCTCTCCTCCTTCAGACTTTCGTGTTGAGCGGAGAATGCTTCCTCTGATAGAGACGGGGGGGGAAAAGGGTAAATTATGAGGTGTGTGTTCTTTTCTGTTCTTCTGCATCTGAACAGCCAGGTGGGCTTTTGTTTGGGTGACTGCCATCCACTGTTAAACTAATACAAGATCAAACAGCTCTTTTGATCAGGCCAAAACCTATTTCCTTCTAACACCACATAAAACCAAACAACATATGTATGCAAATTATAGGATTTGTCAGACTCGGTAGATATAGAGCTGGGCAAATAACTAAAATCCGACAGATAAGAAATGGTGATGATAGAGCTTGGGGAAGTTGTGTCACTGCAGTATTGGCAAGCTCACAATACCTCAGTGTAGCAGAAAACCGAAGAGAAGCAAAGTATAATTTAGGGTCGTCAGAATATTTCTCTAATCTGTCTTCATACAGCAACACAGGATGGAACACATACAGTAAGCAACACACCAAAAGGTTATGGATTAACAGTTTAGATAAACAAGATGTATGGCACATCAAAATCCTTATTTATTTTTTGAAAAAATGAATAAATAGATGTGTCCAAAACACAACACGATTTCAATCCTAGCACTACTTTAATTTGTTCTGTTTTGCAGCAGTTATTACACACAGTCCCCATTGTAAGTAAATAATATAATTCCTACATATTCTTCTTTGGTTTTTTGTCCACAAGCTCATTAAGTTTAGCCTTTCTGTGTTGAAAGCTGTAAAAGGCAAAATCACATGGACAGTGATCATTATTGAAACCTGTGGATTCCTGAATAAGAACTCAACCACTCAAATCACTGTGAGGCTGACAATGTGGTGCCACAGCTAAAGGACTGTGGATGGGGAATATTATAATAATAATAATAATATAATAATACATTTTATTTGGGGGGGTGCCTTTCATAGCACCCAAGGACTCCTTACAGGGCATAGGGGCAATATAGGGAACAATTAAAACAGTGGATTTAGTGAAATATCAGCCGGGAAAAACAAGACAAACAACAGGAAATGGACTACAGAAGGACACAAAAGGACACAGGGTACTGTTTTCAACAATAAATAGTTTACTCCGCCTCATTGCTGCCCCACAACCTCCTGGTTCTCGTGACTTCTGCTCGGACTTCCTGGATTTCTTCCAGGCCAAAGTGAATTCCATCCACTTGCAGCTTAGCGCACCTGTTCCCCCTGCTCCTCACACAGCTCGTACTCTAAGCGCCGCTGCTCCATCTGCACGCTCCTCATACTGCCACCTCTCTGCTTTCGCCCCTGTGGATGCTGTCCAGGTGGCTAAGCTGATCTATAAGGCCAAGCCCTCCACCTGCTCTCTGGACCCCATGCCCACTGTCCTAGTAAAGGCAACATTACACACTGTTCTGCCCACCATCATGGACATCATTAACTCCTCCCTGCTAACTGGCATCTACACGACATCCTTCAAAACCGCCTCAGTCACCCCTATTCTGAAGAAACCCGGACTTGACCCAACTGACCTCAACAACTACCGGCCAATCTCCAACCTTCCCTTCCTTAGTAAAATCTTGGAAAGAGCAGTCGCCGACCAACTCCACCATCACATGTCCAACCATGAGCTCTATGAACCCTTTCAATCTGCCTACCGGACCCACCACAGCACCGAGACTGCCCTGATCAAAATCACCAATGACCTCCTCATCGCAGCTGACTCAGGCTCCATCACTACACTAATTCTCCTTGACCTCTCTGCAGCCTTTGANTACATCCCGTCCCGCACCCTTCGATCCTCAAACTCCGGCCTGTTCTCCATTCACCATTCACGCCTCCGCACCTTCGGGGACCGTGCCTTCAGTGTCGCTGCCCCCACCCTCTGGCACTCCCTCCCTGCAGAAATCCGCAACACCCCTTCTCTCAACATCTTCAAATCAACCCTTAAAACTCATCTGTTCAACATCGCCTTCCAACAATAACTCACTCCCCCCCCCACTTACACTTCCATTTCTGCCCCCTGTTTTATGTTTATGTTTTATGTCTTGTCCTTGTATGTTTCTTTGTAAAGCGACCTTGAGGTTATGAAAGGCGCTGTATAAATTCAAGTTATTATTATTATTATTATTATTATAAAGAAAATGCCAGTTTGAACAGGTGGGTTTTGAGTTGGGTTTTGAATGTTGTTATGGAATCAGACTGTCGGATGTGTAGTGGCAGGGAGTTCCAGAGTCTGGGAGCCGAGCAGCTGAAAGCTCGAGCACCCATGGTGCTGAGGCGAGAGCTTGGGACGGTAAGAAGTCCTACGGGCGAAAAGCGGAGGGTGCGGGAGGGGGTGTACTCCTGAAGGAGGTCGGTGATGTAGATGGGGGCAAGGTTGTGGAGAGCTTTATAAGTGAGTAGAAGATTGTTGTATTCAATACGGTAGCGTACAGGAAGCCAATGTAGCTGAGTGAGAATGGGGGTGATGTGGTCGGATTAGTTGGTGCGGGTGATGATCCGGGCAGCAGAGTTCTGGATTATTTGCAGTCTATTAATGAGTTAGTCAGAAGTGCATTGCAGTAATCAATCTGGGATGTGACGAATGAGTGGACCAGGATTTCAGTGCTGGGTTGGGACAGAGATGAGCGGAGTCTGGAGATGTTCCGAAGATGGAAGAAGGCAGCGTGGGTGATGTTTTAATGTGTGGTGCGAATGAGAGGGAGCCGTCCAGAATGACACCGAGGCTTTCACTTGGGCAGTGAATGGTATGGGGAAGCCGTCGATGATGATGTTTGGTGCTGGGGTGTTTTGTGACTTGGTGAGGGTGGATTTGCAGCCGATGAGCAGGGCCTCAGTTTTGCTACTATAAGCTTCAGGAAATTCATCCTGCTCCTGATGTCCTCAAGGCAGGTGGTGAGGGAGGTGGGGGGCAGGGCAATAGTGGGTTTGGATAAAATGTAGACCTGTGTGTCGTTGGCGTAGCAGTGAAAATGAACCTCATGGTGACGGAGGATTGTGCCCAGGGGGAGGAGATATGTGATGAATAGGAGTGGACCCAGTACTGACCACTGGGGGACACCCAGTGAAATAGCATTTTCTTGTGACTTGTGATTAGCGAGTTGTACAAACTGTATATTAATATGGTGGCGTAGAAAGAACAGTGCCTTCATGCAAAGCTATCAAAGCCAAAAAACACATTCTTTAATATCAGACTGTAAATATAAACATTGGTTATCAGGATTTCCCCGTAATGGCTGGTCAATGAACAGGAAGTGCTTGGTGTTGTTAAGTTACTGCTCCTCCACAGAAAGGTGAACACAGAGGCTGCTTGGTTTAGTGATAGGGATACTTCTCGGGGGTCTAAGTTAACATGCACTAAGGACTGCATAGTATTCAGGGTTAACTGAGAGGGCTGAATGATCCACCAGGAAGAGCAGGAGGAAGTTGGTGAGGAAAGAAACATATTAAAATCTGTTTACAGGGCTAGAGAGGACTAAGGAATTTTCGAAATAAACTGTTTTTTTTTGTGGCTCCATAGGGAGTTGCACAAAGTCTGATTTATTACTTCAAGTGATGTCAGCATCGGTTGGAGCTGAATGCTTCAACCAAGTCAGAAATGAAAACTAAAATAACTGCTCAAGGTTAAATTCTTCTGCCATGGCAGTTTACATCCATATCAACACTTCATAAATTCAACATATTGTAAATTTGACTGAATTTATATTGAATTAACCCATGGGGCTGCTTGTCCCAAATTCATGTTCACCAAAATAAAATGTACAGATGTACACACAAAAAACTTGAAGAAATAATGCCTCCCACCTTGGCTGTCACCAGGATTGGAGGAATACAAATAGAGGGATGTGGAGTTAAGCCTTAAGGCTAGTGACTTGAGTTTTAGCAAGAATAACTCAAAATGTTTGGCAAAACTTTCCAAAAATGGGTCCTGCTTTATCGGCCTTGACACTTTTACGCTGCTATGGACAATCTGGCAATAATCCACATACTATGGACAATCTGGCAATAATCCACATTCTATGGACAATCTTGCACTAATATTTTGCAAATTCTATGGACAATATTGCACTAATGTACATTCTCAAATATTGAAGTGACTGTTATTTTGTATATATTGATTGCTGAATTTTTATTTAGGTCTTAATGTGTGCACATGTACAAATGTGTCTTTGATTCTGTATATATATATACACATATTTGCACACATATTTTTATATACATTTGTTTTTATATTCGGGATTGTGGAAAACTCTGTCTGTACACATAAACTGGAAGATTGACAATAAATTTGACTTTGATATTTTCTTAATAACTGTCTAATTGTGAGTCTAATAATGTTATAGAAGTGCAATGTTTAATTATGTTGGAAGCAAAAAAAAACAGGAATGAAAGGTAAGATTTTGTGTGAAACCACAAACAGTCGTCTACCATATCCAAACCCCTGCACTCATTGCTTGACGCTTGTGTGTAACCAGCAATTTAGAAGTATGCATAGAAGGTTCAAACCTCTCTAAGGAATCGATGAGGAACCAGACAGAACATTGCTAAATGATTCTTTTACATATGAAATTATTGCTGTTTCCAGTGTACTTCTTAATAACTTAAGGTGATGTTTTCCTGCATTCTTAGAGTGAAAGGCAAGAAAGTATTTCAAAATGTCCTAACATTGTCCAAAAACTTGATAGTATGACAGCATTTGGCAGAAAAGTGAGTTTTGAGCATTTAAGATGATCAAATCACATGTAATCAGATAGATCAGCTGCTTTTTATCACATACTTTCACTTACATGCTATGCTGCCTGAACTGACACTATACGGGTGTAAAGAGATATCTTGATGGAGACGACGGGAGGAAGAAAATAAAAAGGTAGTCCATCAGATTAGAGACAGGGATCAGAAAGGCCATCCAAAACCCCAACTGCGTAGGCCTGTATTGCTCTCTTGCTTTCATGTAATGCCCAGCTCTGTTCTATCTGTTCTATCCATCTTCTCATCCTTTCATCCCGCTAACCTGTTCCAGTTGTTATCAGGGTATGGACAGACAAAGCGTGACATAAACCACGTCAG